CTGTCAGATCAAGCATCAAATTATATTTTTTGATATAATAAAGTTATATACACTATCAGATTTCATTTTTGACATGAGGAACCTATATCAAATTTCAGGGTCTATAGTTCAAATCAACATTTTATTTGGGTAAGAACTTCAAAATACAACAAAAAAATGAAACAGGCTTTTTTTAAATAGCCATATTGTAGTTTTTTATTTGAAACAATAAAGATTGTTCTTTTTATCTCCTATATTTCCAGCCTGATTATGGTAAAAACTGAATTAATGGTACAGAATAAAGTGTGTACAGCTAACCAATATGACCAAAAGGATATGTGGGGAATACAGTGTGTACAGCTAACCAATAAGACCAAAAGAATATGTGGGGAATACAGTGTGTACAGCTATCCAATATGACCAAAAGGATATGTGGGGAATACAGTGTGTACAGCTATCAAATATGACCAAAAGGATATGTGGGGAATACAGTGTGTACAGCTATCAAATATGATCAAAAGGATATGTGGGGAATACAGTGTGTACAGCTATCAAATATGACCAAAAGGATATGTGGGGAATACAGTGTGTACAGCTATCCAATATGACCAAAAGGATATGTGGGGAATACAGTGTGTACAGCTATCCAATATGACCAAAAGGATATGTGGGGAATACAGTGTGTACAGCTCCCAATATGACCAAAAGGATATGTGGGGAATACAGTGTGTACAGGTAACCAATATGACCAAAAGGATATGTGGGGAATACAGTGTGAACAGCTATCAAATATGACCAAAAGGATATGTGGGGAATACAGTGTGTACAGCTATCAAATATGACCAAAAGGATATGTGGTGGGGAATACAGTGTGTACAGCTAACCAATATGACCAAAAGGATATGTGGGGAATACAGTGTGTACAGCTAACCAATATGATCAAAATGATATGTGGGGAATACAGTGTGTACAGCTATCAAATATGATCAAAAGGATATGTGGGGAATACAGTGTGTACAGCTATCCAATATGACCAAAAGGATATGTGGGGAATACAGTGTGTACAGCTATCCAATATGACCAAAAGGATATGTGGGGAATACAGTGTGTACAGCTAACCAATATGACCAAAAGGATATGTGGGAATACAGTGTGTACAGCTATCCTATATGACCAAAAGTATATGTGGGGAATACAGTGTGTACAGCTAACCAATATGACCAAAAGGATGTGTGGGGAATACAGAGTGTACAGCTATCCAATATGACCAAAAGGATATGTGGGGAATACAGTGTGTACAGCTATCCAATATGACCAAAAGAATATGTGGGGAATACAGTGTGTACAGCTATCCAATATGACCAAAAGGATATGTGGGGAATACAGTGTGTACAGCTATCCAATATGACCAAAAGGATATGTGGGAAAACAGTCTGTACAGCTATCCAATATGACCAAAAGGATATGTGGGTAATACAGTGTGTACAGCTCACCAATATGACCACAAGGATATGTGGGAATACAGTGTGTACAGCTAACCAATATGACCAACATGATATGTGGGGAATACAGTGTGTACAGCTATCCAATATGACCAAAAGGATATGTGGGGAATACAGTGTGTACAGCTATCCAATATAACCAAAAGGATATGTGGGGAATACAGTGTGTACAGCTATCCAATATGATCAAAAGGATATGTGGGGAATACAGTGTGTACAGCTATCCAATATGACCAAAAGGATATGTGGGGAATACAGTGTGTACAGCTATCCAATATGACCAAAAGGATATGTGGGGAATACAGTGTGTACAGCTATCCAATATGACCAAAAGGATATGTGGGGAATACAGTGTGTACAGCTATCCAATATGACCAAAAGGATATGTGGGGAATACAGCAACCTAAAAACACAAATAATCATAAGACATCTAAGAGGTCAACAAACAGTACTTTCTTCCAACTTTTACACTGAAAAATGCTCTCTGATTTCTGTGGTCAATAATAAAGCTTCATATTTTAAGCCTATTTTAACTACATTTTCCTTTCCACTGTTCATCTTGAAGTTTCAATGATACACTACTGAGGGTAGGTTCTCTAGAGCTGAATCTAAAACTTAAGTTTTATCCTACCATCAAATCTTTGTTGAATGAGCATTATTTTTCTCAAAAGGAGCATCAAAATGTGTCTCTATTTGTGACGATTTATTATTAATGTATTTGTATGTGTTTCACATGAAACTGCCTGTTTAGAACAATTGATTAGTGTTGATATGTCCATCTTTATTAACAAGGTTAGGTAAAGTTTCAGTTTTTTGGGGTACAAAAAAAGGGTCAAATTCTATATATTTTTGTCTACGAAATCATGGTGAAATATTCAGATATATATTTTAAGCTGCTTGTTATCATGTATTTCTCCAAATTGAAATTACAATGATAAATACAGGTCAAATTAGTCATCTGTCTAATCTTACTTTTTCAAAATTGTGACAACATAATTATTGTGTGACACAACTTAGGTAAGTTTGAGTTACTTCCCATTAGTCATATTTGAAATGCCTAAATAATTCACTTATTATTTCCATGTATCACAAAGTTATAATCTATTTGTTTTTTTGGCTAATGTTTCAATTTATCCTTTGTGGTATTGATGGTCAAGTGGTCAATGTAGTTGGTCCACATCTACCTACATGGATCATACTACAAGAGGTTGTCAACATCAATCTGAATACATCACTCTAGTGTATCAACAGTGCAGTACAGGGCAAATATAGGTCCACCACCTCCAAAACAATCCCTCATTCGAAACAAAACTCAAACTCAATCTACAGCGTCTATGTAAGGACTGTATACAAAATATAACCAATTGATTCAGGCATTACAGGTAAAAGTACAAAAACTTAATGCCCATGGATCACAACTTTCGCAAAAATTATCCAACCAGAACAAAACAAGACAAACAACCACAGGTAGTACATAGTCCAGTCTGACGTGGAATGAGCACAATTGTGTAGGAGTTAAACCAGTCTTACATGTGCACACACTTCCCTTTTACCTATGTAGTAAAGAAAAAGGTTATACTTAAAAAATAATTAAGAAATAATTCATGCAAGCCACAGATTTGATGGAAATTTTCAAATGGCCCCAGACCATGTGAAAATGATAACAAATCTATGGCTTGCATAAATTATTTGAATTATAATAAGACAAGTATGTTAATTGAAAAACTGAAGCAAAGGTAAGATTGCCGTGTATATGGCTGTTCTATTTTACCCCCTGTAAGATAAAAGCTACAAATTTCAAATAAATCTAAGGCTTGCATGAATTATTTCTTAAATAACCACTAAAAAAATGTGTTCAATCCTTATAATTCTTAACCCAAACATTTATTTTCCTTGGCTACTATTTACTGACATGTCGTAACTAAGGAGTGAGCACCCATGTTGACTTGCTGAAATCCATGAATGTACAAATGATGCAATAGAATAGAAAGTGAAACAACACCTACCTCAAAACTCCATTTTAATGTGATATTATCTGAATTTAGAGCGTACATGTAAGGGAATAATCTTCTGCTTGAGAGTTTTCATTCGTTTGACATGACGTTAATGTGTCAAGATCATTCATGAAATTTTACTGAATCTTATTTTATTTTGATTTTATACATGTTTTAAGATCAATTTTAATTTGAATGCGACGAAATCCACATAGTGTTTGCACATAAGTTACGATACATGTGGATTTACGTGGGAGGTAAATAGTAACAGCCATTAATATGTACATCTCTGAGTCTGCGCTAAGTATAGATATATCGAGAATTTTTCCACGCTGTTGTTTACAAAGCAAAAGAAGCACGTCATATTAGAATACCAGTTTAACCATAAAATTAACATTATCAATGATCCATGTAAATGAGGTCAAGGTCAAATGAACATTGTCAGACCGATATGTACACCTTACAGTCTTTCCATTCACCAAATATAGTTAACATATTGTTTGAAGTATCTCAGAAACAGATCTAATCAAGAAAACTTACTTAAACCAACAAACCACGAAAATGAGGTCAAGGTCAGATGAACCCTGTCAGATGGACATATGCACCATGCAATCATTCCATACACCGAATATAGTTAACATATTGCTCTTAGTATCTGAGAAACAGACCTAATCAACAAAACAAATCACTGACTTTTGAACCATGAAAATGAGGTCAAGGTAAAATGAAACATGCCAGACAGACATGTACACGATAAAATTACTCCATACAATACATATAGTTGACCTATTGCTTATATTACTTGAGAAACAGACCTTACCATGAAAACTTAACACTGACCTACGAAACATGAAGATTAGGTCAAGATAAGATGAACACTGCCAGACAGGCATGTACACCTTACAATCAGTTCATTCACCAAATATACTTCACCTTTTGCTTATAGGATCTGAGAATGAACTAAAACACAAAAAACATTGATCACTGAACCATGAAAATGAGGTCAAAAATAGATGAAACCTGCAAGACAAAAAGGTACATCTTCCAAAAATTTCATACACCAAATAAAGTTAACCTGCTGCTTATAGTATCTGAGATACGGACTTGAACATGAAAACTTAGCCCTGGTCACTTATCCATGAAATGAGTTCAATGTCAGATGAAACCTGACTGATGGACATTAAGACCTTGCAAGGATCCCATATACCAAATATAGTTATCCTCTTTACTCATAATAAGCAAGAAATTGACACTGTACAGTCTTTTTTAAACAATGGCTGAACAATGACGATGAGGCCAAGTACAAGGGACATATGACAGACAGAAACCTGTTACATAAAGCATCTGTCTCCAAGATATGAAGCATCCAGGAGTTCTATCCCTGAAATATAAAGCTTTATACGAATAGTTTACACTGCCCCACCAGACTGTAATCCCCGTCTTAAATTGTGCAACTTTTGTCGCAGGCAAGACAAAAAATTTACATATCAATTACAGTATTTTATGATAACACAGTTTTACTTACTTTTTCATCTTTTTAGCATTGTATTTGACATAATATGCTGGTTGAAACAGCTTCTCTGGTTCTTGTTCATATTTTTGAGGCAACTCTTTTGTGAAGAACTGAAAATAAAACTCAAATCATGAGATAGTACCAAAAATGTTCAAAAGAAGCATATTACAACATTGTGTATGATAAGCTAGTGTAGTCCAGCCAGGTTAAAAATAGTGTAACTCTTATAAAATAAATTTCCAGGTGTAATATTCCCTAACTGGAGTAAAGGATACAAGTTCTTGCTTATAATAGAAAAACAAAGGATATGGGGTATCCATCCATGACACAAAATCTGTACATGCACAGCAAAAAAAACACAAAAAGCAAAGGAACAGCGCTTTTATTGCTATATATATAGCTATTCTTCAATCTCAAAGTCACAGTGAGGCCTTCAACACGGAGCAAACAAATCTCTCACCTCACTGAAAGTTTAAGACGGCTCTAGCACTGGTTTGAGCAGAATTTTTTGCAAAATGATTGGAATAGACTTTGTAAGATGTTTTTTTTTTATCTTTAAGACTTTGTAAGATGTAAAACCACCAAATCAAAACGATCAAAATAGAACATACTGGAAAGTAGTACATTTCAAAACAAAATTGTTCCTACGCATAGGTGTAAATATCAAACTATGTAGAATATATTTTAGTCATTAAGGTATCAAATGAAAGTTGACATTTGAATAAACTTCGTTATCTGATGTAAAATCAACAAATATGTTCATTTACCTCTGAGAATTACAAAATTTTCAACTGCTTCTTTTTTTTTAAAATAGCAAATTTCCATTATTCCTAATTCAGAAAAAATCATTGCTGGACCTCCAATGTTCCATCAATGATATCAAGTAATTGTTATACTTTATACCATATTGACACCAATGATAAGCTTGTGGCTATATTGCCTTGTTTGTCATTACAATGGTGCCTTTCAGACATGTTATTTTTCACATGATGCAGGAGAGACAACTCTTACCTTTAACATCCCTTCCATATCTAGTGAAAGCAGATAATCTTGACTAGTTTGAAGTATTGCAATTCCCAGTTTAAATATAATATCCATGCCCTGTAAATGAATAAATAGTACATAGTTACATTAGTAAGATTTATTTGGAATAAACAGGGATATCAAAATTAGCTTCAAACAATGTGAATGTCTTGACTCACATGTTGTATATAAAAAGTATTGAATAGTGGACTACAATCAAGAGGCTATTTTTACAAAACAACTTTTGGTTCAAATTGATCATAAGTTATACTGAAATGGTCATGACTTAAAGATTTTGTGAAATGAGTCTTTGGTTTCATGTTGTGACATTTTCTCATTATACACATCCCTCAAACTTGTGTTCTCTTCAGGTACTTTTAATATTAAGGTAAAGTGATGCTATCTAAAATGATTATCTTATCGATTATGTTATGGATATGATGCTAAAATTTCTAAAATAAAACGGTAGAACACTAAATTCTATTCTTTTAAATGCATCAAATTAAAAAAAATAAAGAATTTTTTTCAGATTTTACATGCATTTTAGTTTCGAGTCTATGGTCTGTGGAGTCAAACACTAACTTCTGTCATCAGATATGGACTTGATAAAATATTAAGCAATGCAGGTTGGAAACTGCTCCCACAATTTGCTAGAAATGATATGAGCAAGAACAAGTTAAATCAATGAAATAATAATTGAAAATATCACTGAACATAATAGAAAGTGATTCCTTGCCTCAAGTACTTGTAAATTCATTAAATACAATTTTAGACACAGGCAACTTAGAGCTTGACATTATACAGACACTTATCTTGTTTTGGGAACCTGCCATGACTAGCTTATGTGTACTCATACTGTGTCAAATCCACATCAATAAATATTTTTGCAGTCTATAATTTTTGCAGACTATAATATGATGCTTGATGTCTTTTTGATTTTTGTTATTTCTGGCAGATGTCTCATTGACGGTATACCCCACATCTCTAATACTATTCAGACAATAATAAAATCTTACCTCTGATATAAAAAGATCCATCACACGACAAGCAAGAGACAGTGACAATGTTGTAGCAAATAATGTTAGAAACCATGACGATGCATACATTGATGTGTAAAAACCCTGAGACTGAAAATGTAAGTACAAGTCTGGAAGCAGGTCCTGAAAAACATTGTTATAAAAACTCTGAGACTGAAAATGTAAGTACAAGTCTGGAAGCAGGTCCTAAAAAACATTGTAATAAAAACTCTGAGACTGAAAATGTAAATACAAGTCTGGTAGCAGGTCCTGAAAAACATTGTAATAAAAACTTTGAGACTGAAAATGTAAATACAAGTCTGGAAGCAGGTCCTGAAAAACATTGTAATAAAAACTCTGAGACTGAAAATGTAAGTACAAGTCTGGTAGCAGGTCCTGAAAAACATTGTTATAATAAACAGCTGCACCATGAGCGCATGATACGCTCGTCGTTTTTTCAAAGAATAAAGTTCAATAACTTCTCAATGTCATATCAGAAATGTATGAAAAACTAAAGGGAGGTTATCTTAATAGATATAAACCAGTCACCAAAGTTTCATGAAAACTGCTAAAAGCACTTTAAAGATATTGTCCGAAAACTGGAAAATCACCCCTTTTTTATGAATAAAATCACATAACTCAGAAAAGTAAAATCTAAAATTTATAAAAAATGGAAGAGAGCTCACTTCTATAGATACAAACAATTCACCAAAGTTTCATGCAAATTGGTTAAAGCGTTTTTGAGTTATTGTCCGACATGTTGATGACGCACGGACAGACAGACAGACGGAAGGACGGACGGACGGGCAACAGTATACCATAATATATCCCTGAACGGGCATATAAAAACTCTGAGACTAAAAATGTAAGTACAAGTCTGGTAGCAGGTCCTGAAAAACATTGTTTTAAAAACCCTGAGACCGAAAATGTAAGTACAAGTCTGGTAGCCGGTCCTGAAAAACATTGTATTCCTCAAACCATAAACTAATTCAACTGGTATCTGAAGTGAAGTAGTAGTTCTCATACCCCACTGAATCAGAATAACACATCAAAGTTGATTTGAAAATGGCATATTTTTGCACAGACATAATTAAACAAGATATCATATAAAAATGAATCTACAAAAGGTAAACTTATTTGGTAGTTTTAAGTTTGTTAATTTTTCAATGATTAAGAAATATTTGCAGCTTGACATTGTGCAACCAACAATAAACCAATAATGTAATAACATGACAAATATGGTGTTAGCAGCAGGAACAGTGATATGTTCATTTATGATACCTCTTGACATCTTATCTTTGAATATCATTTTTTGGTGGGGTTCATGTGGCTAACTGTTTTTTTTTTTTTTTGTGTATTTGCATTGTATGTTTTTTTCTACTACTGTGTTGTGTGTGCTTTGAATTCTGGTTTCTTATTGCCAGCTTGATTTGGTATTATCTTTTTTCATTCATAGACAAGACCAGCATACTGGTCGAGGACTAGTTACTGTTTCTGTAAAAACAAACATGTAGCTTTAATGCAACATATCTTCAGACAAATACTTGTTTTTCACATTAAAAAGTTTGTTTTGCTTGATTATATAAAGATGAAGAAGACACATGTGCAGGAACATGACATCATCATTTTATGATATCCTTGATTAAGAAAACTAATCATTATCAGAGATTGTAATATCAAAGCTTGCTTTAGAACACAAATTTCTTTCAAAAGAATTAAAACGGATTTTATAAATTTGAAAACCAATTCTGTGCTCTTCTTCAATACAGTGTAACTTGTAGGTGACAAATTCATGATAATTTCAGATTTAGCTGAAGGAAGTAGTTCCATCACAACTTATGGACAGAATAACAATATTTTATCCATAAAATGTTTTGCAAAAATAGCCTCACCAGTAACCAACTTTTTGTTGTTTGAAAGAGACTTTAAGTCCAAGTCTATGTTGCTAAGCATATATTTTTTGGTAGCATTTTGATTGTTAAAATATTTCTAAATGGAGTTCCCCTTAAACAATCCTTGCGAAAAACTGTTAATTTCTGAGGATAAGGAGTACAAGACCAGTTTATAGTCTTGTACTTGTTTACATTTCTAAACATTTCAATCTGTTAAACCTTAAAGTAGATATCTTAAATCCTGCAGACAAAATACAAAATTGTTGTGTGAATTTCTTCATCGTGTAATATAAGAAACATCTACAGTGGACATGATTCTCCAACTATTCAATTGAATAATTACTAAAGACTAATGACTTACCTGTATTAAACATTCTAGTTTGTACATACACAAACTTAACTCTGCCATACTAGGTTTAAACAGTTCTCTGAGACGATAGTCCTGCATTAATTTAACAAGTACTGCAAAGGCCTCTTCTTCAGGCATCTGTAAAAGAGCGAAAAATACAATTTCAAAGCTTTATAGAAATTTCCAAATTTTTACTTTGAAATGAACATTTAATTTGTTAATGATTAAAGGATTGTGCTTTCGGTCACATCTCCTATTTTTTTATATACTGTGTTTATAATACTCAAAATTGACAACAACACTTCAGATGGTCTGCAACTTTATTTGCTATGGTCAACATGTTTCGCCTGCAAGGCAGACATCATCATAATTTACAATTTACATACAGAAATTATTTACTGAAGTACCCGAACTGGTATCTTGAATTTGACGTCGCAATGTGTGTTGTCAAGGTGAGAGAAACAATGAAAAGTGAAAGTAGCAATAAAGAGTTATGTAGTAGAGAATTGATAAGAAGTAGTGGATTCGTAAACGATAATCAACGAGCATCTTTAGTCGCAAGTTGATTATCGTTTCCGAATCCACTACTTCTTATCAATTCTCTAGCTTAACCCATTTCTAGTAAAACGACTGTCTGTTTTACGTTTTGACAATGAATCAACAATATTTCATAAAAAAAGTTTGGTATTTTGTCTTTTTTATTCTATAATAGCTGGAAATGAATATATCCACACGGTTCGCATCTATATTTAGACATTTGACAAGTTAACATAAGTTTAATATAACTTAAAGGGGGTGTTAGCTCCCCTTTTTAATACCAGATTTTATTTTTGTATATACATATTTCAATTAATCTTTAATCATTACAAATTATTTAAATTAAATAGATTTTGGTATATTTAATTTATTCAAAAAGACATATATTGATATACAGAATTTATTTATCTTGTTTTGAAAAGTTAAAAAATTTTAATTACCAAAATTTAGAATCTTCAAAATTTATATACATAATATTTAGCAACCTGACTTGGTATAATGAAATCGTAACACCATTATGTCGTTCCTAGTCAATTAAATATTATTAGCATATATGCCATAAATCTGCCATTTCATAATTCATATTGCTGTTTAAAGTATTAAAATTATGTGCTTACGATTTAAATTGAACAATTATATTTAAGGTAGATAGGGTGTCTTCCTCCATCTTGGATTTTGAAATACCAGAAAATAATCGGTCTAGACCTTTAATAAAATGTGCAAATTTTGAGAGTAGTGGGTAATTCATGTGTAAGAATTTACATTTTAATATAGAAAATGACATGTTTAATTATATTTATGGTTGTATTTTACAAAAAACAGAATACTTTTGTTTGATTCAATTTTTTCTAACTTTGCCACATAAGGGGAGGCAACTCAAATGTAAGGGCAGATAATTCAAATATTGTTACTTTTACAATAGACTGTGTTAGGAATTTATATATTTTATTATGTAGCAAGAAAACGGGCCCGGTGACCCCATTTTTTTCTTTTTCTTATCTGAAAGTATAATATTAGAGCTATCTTCTCATGTTTTATCTCAAAATTCTATGGTGCAGTTTTCGTTTTATGGCAGAAAATTGCGTTTTCCATGCATTATCTATACAAAATCTGTCAATTTTGCACAACCTGTAGCGTGAAAATAAGCCCCGTGACCCATTCTTTTTATTATTTTTTCCAAAAAAGCATGATATAAACTACATTTTGGCAAATTATTAAAAAATTCTATAGATTATAATTTAGACACCCCATCTACCTTAAATTTTGTTTAAACTGTTTCCGTTTCATTTAAGTTAAGATTATTTTAGCGTTATTACATTTGGTAATATCGTTCACCGGTCAGTAAAATAGTTTTTTCTGTGGTACGCATTCTGAATCCACATCAGAATTGCTCTTGCTACGGATGTACAATGAATAATTATGTTGATGTCATAAACTTACCATCAAGATGTGCATAGCCGTGATCGTCTAGTCGTTGATAACGAATGTCATAACGGTGATATTAACAGTGCAAAGTTCGAACCTTGTACGCGGAATGAATTTTTTTCATTGTAATTTTTTTTTCTGGACCAAAATATTGTTTTAATCCTAGAACATGTAGAAGTATCATATATTTCATTTTCATATAATGGCAATGATTTTGTTCTGTTTTTATTGTCAAAGAAGTAGTTTTAACCCGTTTCTTAAAAAAAAAAATAACACCCAAAATAAAACAAATTCAATAAACATGAACAAACCAAGATATATATATTTCATTAGATTACAAAAGCGAATTATCAATGAGACAGAAATACAGTTAAATGACATGTATTGACAAGTAAGCGCTTTAAGAGTACTATTTATATATTGATTGATGTCAGCCATCGTGGTCTAGTGGTATCATGCATAGACTGAAGACTGTATTGATACGAAGAAAATACGCGCGGGTTCGAATCCTACACATGCCACTCGTTTTTGAGAGGATAAAAGATCGTAAGTTAAAAGGTTAAAGTTATAATATAAGTTCTCTTAAGTTAATACTATGGTCAGTGGATTCTTGAAAAATAATCTACAGCCAGAACAATAGACTGACGTCAGAGAAATGGGTTAAAAATAGATAAGATAAATATAGAAAAATAAAGTTTGTTAACAATGTAACTTGAGTTTGTTTTACTGTTATATGCTTATTATTGGAGAAATTATATGTCAATACATTCCAGAATTCAAAATGTCGGCTTCCTTAGTTACAAACAGGGAGATAGAATGTTTAACGCTTACTGTCATCCAATCAGAACCATTGAAACAAAATAATTGTATTAAATTTTTTTATATACTGTGCTTACAATAGTTATGTATGTGTATACATTATCACTTCTCAACAGTATTTATGAAAACTCATTCACTTTCTTATTTTCTTTTAAAAAAACATATCATACATTCCTATAAATCTTTGTAATAATGATAAAACTTTATCTAAAAACAAAAAAATCATTCAAGTAAAGTTGTGAAATGATACAGTACATGTAATCAATCATAAAATCCTAGGTTATGTTTCTTTTATCATACATTTGTTTTGGCTAACTGATTTATGACTGTTAAAAACTGTACACCACGAATATACATCATAAATTGTTTTGCTTGCTACATGCTTCTATAATAATTTCCTTTTTATAACAACAAATACATGTTTACCTCTTGGATATTTTTTTTTGTAAAGCCCCTGTGATGTTAAAAGGGAGATCTTCCTAAAATATTTTACTATCAGAGAGGAATTTTGTATGACCACCTTGTTTAAGCATTAATAATTACCCATACTATTGTTATATTTGTAGACAGACAGACAGACACATGAACAGACATGGTGATTCCTATATACATACCCTCCCAAACTTTGTTTGCAGAGGGTATAACTAATGATTGGCATAAGGTCTAATGAAAAATGTTCAAAACATAACATCATTGCTATAAGAGCTTTCAAAAATATCTATAAAATATATTGTAATGTATATTGTTAAACATTTAACTGGTCACATTATTTTTTACCTGCATAAGTAGTAAGCCGACAATAAATCCACTTCCTTGACAGTAACCTACTTCTCTATCATGGAGAGAATATGCCTATAACAATAAATAGACTTTCTTATTATGAAAAAATATGTCTTCAAAAGTACAATTGTATATTCAGTTAACATCTACACAATATCTTAAAACTAAAACACTGTTAATATCATGATGAATAATAACTAAAAATCTGAGTTTATTTTAAAGCTTTCCAAAAAAAAATATTTCTAAAAAGAGCACTCTTGGTAACTGTTTGTAAAATTTTTACCTTCATAACATTAAATAAACTTTCTTGTCCCACACCATCCTTCTCCTTGAAGAATTCATGGTCTGGAAATGTTCTGGCAATGTCCCGTCTAATGTACCTCTCACTAGGGGACGACTCTCTCATATATTCTACATACATCTGTTTGTGTGGAGAGCTGTGCACATTCAGTAATAGCTGCCATGCCAACCCTCTGAATGGGTGGGGAATACCCTTTCTCACAAGTTCCTTCAAGGAAAATACTGTATAAGTGGTATTTTTCTCAAAATAAAATTTAAGCATACCAGGGCAAAATTTAATGGTTTTACAGAGAAACTAAATTAAGCAATTAGTGTCCATTGCAGTAGATTTTTCTAAATTCTCATAAAACAAATTGTTCATGTTGTTTAGGAACCCATATAATTTACGATTTTTTTTTCTAAGGTAAAAACATACTAAACAAGTAGAAAGTTGAAAAGACCAACCATGCTCCCTGAACTACACTGATAAATGTTTCTCAACATACCAAATAATATTGATATAGAAGAAACTAAAAAGATCATCATGATCATAGTAATCTAAGAACCATAATGGTTAAAATACTAAAGCCAGAGCCATAGTATACAGAATAACATTATGGAGCAACCCCTTAACATATATTTGCTGTGGTACCTTTGTCCCTTGCTAACTTGCCAGGTTTAGGAAATATACGCCGATTCAATAATAGTTTCATCTCAAGAAATTTCATCTGGAAACCATAATTCTGGTGTAATCTTATTCAATATATAGCTGTCACGTGTTTTTGGTTGTTTGAGATAATTGTTATATAGACACCTGTTTGCGCATCTTAGATAAAATTGGGCAGAGGTTCTCCTGACCCTGGCTACCCTGCCAGGTTTGACCACATGCCAATGTAATTTTAATTTTCCTAAAAATAAAAAAAAAATTTAAAAATAAAGTAAAGATGACCTGAACCTTTGACCTATTAGTCTCCAAATCAACAGCTTTGTCCGTTTCCTACTATGTACTACTTTAAAAGATTTTATTAAAATATAACCACTGCATCTCAGGGAATCACATAGAAACAGCTAACTGCACCTCATATTTCTACATTTTCAGTATATTTTAGCAACTGTGGCCTTGACATTTGACAAAATAAAATTGATATGGATAATCTCTACCTTTTATCTTCCTTTTATATAAGTTTCATTTTAAACTAACTAAGGAAATTAAAGTTATCACCCAGAAACCAACTTTCCCCCAAAAATATATTTTAAGAAGCAGTCACTTTGAGCTATTGACCTCTAAATCAATAGGCTTCTTCCCCTTCCTTATATCGTGTATTATATGTTTCAAATTTATTAAGCTAAAGATTTTATTCAAAAAGCATAAATTTTAGTGTTAGCAAATTTTGTGGTTTTATAAGTCACTTCATTTTTGCTTGTATCTATCTTTGCCATTTCATATCAATCTGATATTTATTCAGCAATAAATATAGTTTTCAATGTGTAATATTGTATATCCTTCAATAGAGTGCAATAAAAATTGTGAAAACAAGTGAAACTGCTAGCTACTGCTCACTGATGATACCCCCTCCCAAATATTTAGCTAAACAGGAAGTTGTTGAGTGATGAATCTGAAAACGCATCACACGGTATAGCTGACTCATATAAACCCTGAAACCAAATTTCAGAAATCTTTGTAATGTAGTTCCTGAGATAAATGGGATGAAAATTTTCAACTACTTGGATGGCATGTGTGAAATAATGTAAGTGTTCGTTAAACAGGAAGTTGTTGAGTGATGAATCTTGAAAACACATCACACTGTATAGCTGACTTATATAAAAATTTCAGAAATCCTTATGATGTAGTTCCTGAGAAAATGTGACGGACGGACGGACAGACAGAGGTAAAACAGTATACCCCCACTTTTTTAAAGCCGGGGTATAATTAGTTTACATGTTCAGTAATCAAAAAAAGTTTCCACTCAATAGGATAAAACCATCTAGTGGTAAACACATCTTAGGAAATATATATTTTTTGCAAGACTACAATTTTACTGTGTGTAAACAGCATTATCGCTATTTTACTAAATTTTCCTTTGATCTTACTGACTGATAATTTTCTTTCTCAGCACAGTAGAGTGATATGAAAAATTATCGCTAGAAACTAAGGGAGCATGTGCCCGTTGTCAATGAAATTAACAACGTCGTCATAGGTAAAATAGCAATAAACAGATTATCATTGGTCATCTCAACTTGATTGCTTTTCTCGCTTTCGCCTTACTGGCTCAAGCGAGAAAATCAATCTCGTTGAGATTATCAACGATAATAAACTAAGTATAGTAAATCTCATAATAAGGCAATGTCAGTTCAATAAAAATTCACATAACAAATATGTGAAAACCCTGACTAAAGTTCTTGTTCACAGGAAAGTATGTACACTTAACCCTAATTTATATCTATTTATTCATTGGTCAAATGGTGTATATAACTTAATTTACATCAAGATACCGTTCAATGAAATTGGATACACAGCATTTATCATGCTTTACAATAACATATGGTAAAATCACTGAAAGACCCCCCTTCTAAATTATGGAAAACTATCATTCTGCATTGACATTAATATCTTGGTGTAAATTAGAAACACCCAATCGGGCTAATGCCCTCATAGGTGTATCTAATACAAGACTTTGTTGTACGTTATATAAAACCCTTTCATATGATGTGTTACCTTTAGGTATGCAGGTTTCTTTTTAGCATTGTCCCAGTCATTTACAAGTTTTCCCCATATATCCCACAGATTACCAAATGGCTGACCTGAAAAATATCTTTTCATCAAACTAAAAATTTATACAATTTGAAATTCAGAGCTATAATCATATAGTACATTCTTGTTTCTGCTGTGAAAACCATTCCTGTATTATCTTTGTTCAAGTGCTTAATTTGTTAGTTATTTATGTGTAAGCATCATTGTGGCAAGATGAAGAACAACATTACAAGCCTTGTTCCTTTGAATTTTCCTTTTCAGATGTGTGTAGGGATTTTGTACCAATTTTTTATCAAGGACCATAACTCCTAACGATAAAAGAGAAAATTGCCAAATTTGATCTTAACCTCCATTTTGTTATCAGTAACAACATATTGAGAACATTTTTATTAATGCAAGTAAGGAAATATGATATCTCCTGATTTCTGCATTTTAGGAAAACTGCAGTCTTCCAGAAAATATCACCTATACCAAATGTTTGGTCTGAGAAAACATAGTTTATCTAATAGTTGAAATTGAGCTGTGATTTAGCTTTCAAATTGGGACTTTGCATCTTTTTGTTAGTTTTTTTTGTGCTTTGTACCGGTCTGATGAGTTAATAAACCCTTTGCAATATCTTTTATAGTTTGTTGTTTTTTTGTTTTTTTTTCAATTCCAGGAAATCAATTTATATACATTGATGAAATCACCCATCTAAATTGCTTCGTGATTCAATGTATCATCTAATTTTGATAAAGATACTGAAACACTATATATAGCTAATAGACAGGCAAATACTAATGAATTGAGCAATAATACTATACCAGTGCCATCTTCCTCTGAGTGTTGATTACTGAGCTGACTGTTAGATGATACTGATGACACAACACTAGAGGCTGATCCCTGTCGAGAATGTCCTAAAACTGGTGACGGTGTTGAATTGAAGGCTGATTTTTCATCTGACAGTAACCTCCTAATATTCATGAGAAAAGTTAATTAGAAAATGATAAACATTAAGGTACTAAAATCTGAATAATTCCTGAAAATTGCCATTCTACTTCATTTTAAATAAATTACTACTATTGGAAAGCTGAAAACTGATAATGTGAGTTCAAACTGATTTTACAAATGCAAATGTTTCCTCTTAACTTTCTCAATACTTTGTATCTAGCAGTTTCAGCATACCTTAATTAGGTGAATATTTTAACTTATATGTTTAAAAATAAACAATATAAAATATCCTATGCAGAGGTTATATTGGTCCAGTGTTTTTTTTTTTTGCTCTTTGAGTTCTTAATGTATGTAAGGGCTTGCTTCCTGCTTTTTATACATTTATATTGTTTAATACTAAAGGAATGAAATGTGATAAAACCAAAAAATATAATGTTTTATTAAAAAACAAGGAAATGCTATAAACAAAAGTTAAGAATCAGAAATGTTAGTAACATTCCAGAATTTATGACACTTTTAATTAATATTGTAATATAGAGACAGGCATTCCATAGATTTAACATTTTGTTATTGACACAGAGATTAAATCAGATATTAGATAGAACTGTTATGTATAGCTGTAATGAGGAAACAAATGCAGAAGTATATATCAATTTGAACTTTGCAATTTAAATATATTTCATTACTACTCATTTCACTGAAGTAGAAGTTGTTACAAATAGGATAGATGAAGACATAACACGACCATTAACATTTATATTTTTAACTCAAATTTGTCACAACTCAACATAATATAATACATGTATACACTAAAGTATAATATTTAAACTCACAAATAATGTCCATGTCTGTCACACACTTTCCTACATCAACTTAAACAAATGATTCATTGAAATTTCTTAATGTCTCTTTGAAAAATTATCTGGACCGTTATAATTTACATTTCAGGATAGTTTTAACTAATTCGCCCTGACAGATAATCACCACTGGATGTTCAGAAAACAATAATTCATCTTACAGATAATCAAATCTATAATTTATAGAACATTTTACAATACAACCATTCAATTTGTTTAAACATATGAGACAGAGTGGACATTATTTTTACAAACTGACAAAGACAGGAGAGAATTTAGGAAGTAAAAGTTTACCATGCACATTAATATTAAATTTTTAAAACTTCATCTAAACTTGTATATGGAAAAGATTTTCAGCTGTAGTTCTCATTCATCAGTTGTTTTAGAGCAACTTTGACCCTTTTAATATATTTCAATGCTTAAGATGTCCTGATGTTAAGATTGTCTTGACAATGCTATTTAAAACAGAAGAAATTAAGTGTATAAATTGTAGCTGATCTGACAGTCTTATTTAACCTGAAGGTTTCCTGTTTAGATGTAGCTTTACGTTTCAATACTTTAACTGCATGTGACAACTTATAATCCATTTCATCTAAAATTTATAGCATACAAAAATCAATAGATGTTGATGAGTTAGCAAATGTATGTAATTAACTAATTCTTAAATTAAAATTCAATCCTACGAGGAAAAATCCATAACTTAGAGTACCATAGTACATAAGTCTCTTTCAACAATGAATTCTCCTGATGATTTCAGAAATCAATTTCAATCTAAGGTATTTTTTTGTATAAAAAGATGACAAAAAATTCTCTTTTTGTTCAATGTCAAGTAAAATAAAGCATCAGTATGTACAATCTAGATATTTGTTTGTATTGTAGTAGAACGTTTATAATGCAAACTTGTGTTGTATGTTATTGTTTGCCTTTGTGTGTACATTCTTTGTTTTAAGCAGATTAGGGTGTTGGTGTGGTCTGTTGAGGTGTCCAATAAGTTGGTCATTTCTCTTATCCTTCTATGCATTATTAATCATCTTTTCAAAATGAGACAAACAATAACACACAATAAAAGCTGACTGGTATTTTACCTATTTGCTTCCTCAAGCTTGGCTAAAAGTTCTAACTCCTCTGCTTGCAGAGAGGAAACCTCCTCTGTTTTCTGTTGGTCATCTGAGGACATTGGCCTCCTAAAGACTTCTTACTTCATCACCCTCTGGAATGAAAACAAACATATCTATTTTAAATTCATATGCGAAGAATAATGGTCTCAAGAATTGTTGTTTTTTGTGTTGAATAAATTATTTTTTTACATATACATATATATTGTCACAACAAACATCTTAATGGATGGTCAAAAGGGACAATGGATAGTCTACTGTTTTCATATTTATAACTGACAAACCCAGTAACCTAACAATAAACTGGTTGTACCTTGGTATTTCAGTAAAAGACTAAATGGATAAAGCAAATGTGTGATTTATAGGTATTAAAGGATGCATTAGTTCTCTTCCCTATTGGAGGTCATGTCAATGACAGGATACATGAGAAAACCAACATATTCAATTTACATAAAGAAATAAATAATTCTTTTATTCTTGTCTCCAGTCATAAATGTTTAAAACAGATACAAACCAGACATACTTTCACTTTCTTTCATTGTGTTTACAATGGTTTATATGAAAGATTAAGGAAAGAAATATTTTTTTTAAATTGTCCTCATAGCTTCTTTTACTGAAAGGAAAATGACAATTACATAATTTTTGTACAACAAGAATGCACACTTCGTCCTGATAAGCATACCCCCATATGTAATTCAAAAGATCAGAAAACAGGAAGTTGGTGTCTGACAGGTCCATAAAGTACACCAACTTTACAACTCATCACTGTCAAACTGTTGACCAAATATAAAGTCATTTTTTCAGTAGTACATACCTGAGAAAGTTGTGACATTTTTTTTAAAGTTCATTCAACATATTGAAAAATTAAAGTACATGTATCAGCAAATAGGAACTAGAGGCTCTAAAGAGCCTGTGTCGCTCACCTTGGTCTATGTGAATATTAAATAAAGGACGCAGATGGATTCATGACAAAATTGTGTTTTGGTGATGGTGATGTGTTTGTACATCTTAATTTACTGAACATTTTTCCTGCTTACAATTATCTCTATCTATAATTAACTTGGCCCAGTAGTTTCAGAGGAGAAGATTTTTGTAAAAGATTACTAAGATTTATGAAAAAATGGTTAAAAATTGACTATAAAGGGCAATAACTCCTAAAGGGGTCAACTGACAATTTCGGTCATGTTGACTTATTTGTAGATCTTACTTTGCCGACATTTATTGTTTTTTACAGTTTATCTCTATCTGTAATAATATTCAAGATAATAACCAAAAACAGCAAAATTACCTTAAAATTACCAATTCAGGGGCAGCAACCCAACAACGGGTTGTCAGATTCATCTGAAAATTTCAGGGCAGATAGATCTTGACCTGATAAACAATTTTACTTCATGTCAGATTTGCTTTAAATGCTTTGGTTTTTGAGTTAAAAGCCAAAAACTGAATTTTACCCCTATGTTCAATTTTTAGCCGTGGCGGCCATCTTGGTTGGTTGACCAGGTCACGCCACACATTTTTAAAACTAGATAACCAAATGATGATTGTGGCCAAGTTTGGTTTAATTTGGCCACGTAGTTTCAGAGAAGATTTTTGTAAAAGATTACTAAGATTTACGAAAAACTGTTAAAAATTGACTATAAAGGGCAATAACTCCTAAAGGGGTCAACTGACCATTTCAGTCATGTTGACTTATTTGTTAATCTTACTTTGCTGAACATTATTGCTGTTTACAGTTTATCTTTATCTATAATAATATTCAAGATAATAACCAAAAACAGCAAAATTTCCTTAAAATAACCAATTCAGGGGCAGCAACCCAACAACAGATTGTTCGATTCATCTGAAAATTTCAGGGCAGATAGATCTTGACCTGATAAACAATTTTACCTCATGTCAGATTTGCTCTAAATGCTTTGGTTTTTGAGTTATAAGCCAAAAACTGCATTTTACCCCTATGTATTATTTTTAACTGTGGCCGCCATCTTGGTTGGTTGGCCGGGTCACGCCACACATTTTTTAAACTAGATACCCCAATGATGATTGTGGCCAAGTTTGGTTTAGTTTGGCCCAGTTGTTTCAGAGGAGAAGATTTTTGTAAAAGATAACTAAGATTTACGAAAAATGGTTAAAAATTGACTATAAAGGGCAATTACTCATAAAGGGGTCAACTGACCATTTCGGTTATATTGACTTATTTGTAAATCTTACTTTGCTGAACATTATTGCTGTTTACAGTTTATCTCTATCTATAATAATATTCAAGATAATAACCAAAAACAGCAAAATTTCCTTAAAATTACCAATTCAGGGGCAGCAACCCAATAACGGGTGGTCCGATTCATCTGAAAATTTCAGGGCAGATAGATCTTGACCTGATGAACAATTTTACCCCTGTCAGATTTGCTCTTAATGCTTTGGTTTTTGAGTTATAAGCTAAAAACTGCATTTTACCCCTATGTTCTATTTTTAGCCGTGGCGGCCATCTTGGTTGGTTGACCAGGTCACGCCACACATTTTTAAAACTAGATACCCCAATGATGATTGTGGCCAAGTTTGGTTAAATTTGGCCCAGTAGTTTCAGAGGAGAAGATTTTTGTAAAAGTTTACGGACGACGGACGACGGACGCAGGACGACGGACGACGGACGCAAAGTGATGAGAAAAGCTCACTTGACCTTTCAGGTCAGGTGAGCTAAAAAAGTGTCTGAGAGAACCAAAACGTGCCACTCTTTACAACACATCACGTTCAAGCTGCTGACTAAATAAGTAGTCATTTTGTTTAGTAAAACTTGAGAAAAATGTGACAATTTTTTTTTAGTTCATTTAAATACTGAACAATTCAAAGTATAGGAAAACAGGAAGAAGATGTCTGACAGATAAGAAATGCGATCACACATTACAAGTCATCACTGTCAAGCTGCACACCAAATATGAAGTCATTCTGTTAAGTAATACTTTAGAAAAGTGTGACAGAAATATTTGCTGGACAAACAGAAGGAGGAATGTATAAGGCCAATGCAATATAGCCCCCTTTACTTGAGTGGGAGTATATATATAATATGTACAAACAGAAGGAGGAATGTACAAGGCCAATGTAATATAGCCCTCTTTACTTGAGTGGGAGTATATATATAATATGTACAAACAGAAGGAGGAATGTACAAGGCCAATACAATATAGCCCCCTTTACTTGAGTGGGAGTATATATATAATATGTACAAACAAATTGTATTATTTTAATTATGCCAATATTAAAGCACTGATCGTTGGGCAGATGGTTCCCCTTGTGACTGATAGTCCATCAGACTGACCCAATGAGTATGGAAAAAAAACTTCCTTATATCATATCTGTGCAGATCACACGTTTCATCAATTGAAGATTTTTTAAAGGTGTGACAGAAAAAACTCACCTGAGAACTATATGATTACATGTAATAATAAGATGAAATAGCCTCTATTGCCAATGCTTCATCAAATGTTAAATTTAATGTACTAAATAATTTTAAAATTATCAAATACAAATATTAATACACAGATAACCTTTAAAATTTCCCTCTGATCTATCTGAATGTACAACATGTACAAGAAGACTATTAAAATTATTGTTACGATATACAAGTAAATAACTTAATTTGTTTTGACTCACAGATTTACATTTAGTATTTTGTTAAGAGAATTATGTGTCAATTCTGTATTCACCAAATAAAACTATCTTATCTATCAAATTTTAAGCTATGAAAAAGAAACCAGTCATTTATTTAATTATCAATATAACATTATAACCTATTAATAAATTAACCTTAATTATATAATAACTTTTACATATATAACAGGTTTCTTACACGTCATTTCATTTGATAAGATACATAAATTATTGAACTGACTATCTGCATATGTATTGATATCAAAAAGGTTGTCCCAACAGTAACAAATATCTTAAAATGTCTGTCCCAAGTTAGAAGCCTGTAATTCAGTGGTTGTTGTTAGCTAATGTCTGTCATATTTGTTTTTCGTAAATTGTATTGTTATAAATTAAGCCATTAGTTTTCTTGTTTAAATTGTTTTACATTTTTCATGTTGGGTCTTTCATACAGTATATTTTGTTCTCAATGTTTTAGACCGTATGGTGACCTATAATTGCTAATATCCAAGTAATTTGTTCTCTATTGGATAGTGTTTCATCTCCTTATTTTTATGTAGTACTTAGATCTCTGCAACAGCACAAAATTACTGTCTAAAATATGTATAAACACGAAGAACATTTTATACTTGATAATGTCACTGTAAAAATAAACTGTAAAATCATGTGAATTAAGTGGAATTTGTTTAATCAACCAATAAGAATAATATTTTTTTTATCATTGTCAGTTTTCATAACTCAAAATTTCGCAGAACATAGAAATTAATCATGCACGACCTTATTGACCTTTTGAATACTAATCAAACATCTAGCTGTAGACTTTGATTCATACAATGTTACATCTTTATATATAAGATATATGTCTAAACATGATTCACTTCACAAAATATCAATAAATGACAAAATCTTAATCAGATTTAATTTATTTTCTAAGCCTAAAGCAGGTAAATATTGTGATATGTTTTTTGATTAACCAGGTAATCTATATATGATGTTATAATAGCTCCTGGTGTAACCTTTAAAAGAAAGATTTATCTAATGATGAAGGTTTATCATCCTCCCTATAAAGGTGTAATTTATGTACATATTATATATAACATACATTAAAACAAGTGAGTGACAAAAGCAGACAGAAATTCTAAGATTATAAACATCCTCCCTTTATATTCATTTAACAGTAATTATACTGTAATATACATTGAAAACATGAAAATGACAAGTTCCAAAATCTTACAGGAATACCATTGAACATTTACAAGGAGAGCAAAGAAAAATATGTAAGCATGTAAATCTCATTAAATTTCCTTTTTTTGGTTTTTTTTTAATGTATATGTATCCTGTATATAGGCTATGAATTAACAAGTTTGAATTCCAACAATTAATTTGGAAGTCCTAACAGAGATACTTCCTTTTTTTCTCATGTAGAAAGCCAAGATGAAAACTGTTGATAAAATAAATTAAACCTTACCAGTCTTCAAAAATTTAGTTCTATCTGCAGTTTCTCATGACAATTCTGATATCCAAATTATGTATTCCAATATGTCCTTAATGTTTGAGCATTTCACTTTAAAAGGATCCACTTAATCTCTCAAAAGATAAGCTGCTACTAAATTCTGCAAAAGAAACAAAACATCAATGAAGAAACAAAATGTTTATAGTGATGAAAGCTCTTTATAGGGCCCTTTAATTGGAAATAAAATATTCTATATAGTCAAGATAAAATATTCATTAAGGATAAGTTTGGAATTTGATACATATTTTTTTTACATTGACATGAATACAACTGTGTCCATGATAATTTCAATGTTGAATTAATAGTTCACATGTTCTAAGTATGGCTATAAGCGTCTGATTGAAAGTTTGTTGGGGATTTGATATAAAGCATCCAACATGTTCATGCTGGTTATATGATATAAGGTAAATACAAATGTATATAAAGTTCAGCTTTACACATTAAGATAGAGAGAGTAAAAAATCATTACTTAATTTATAACAAACTTAGCAAAACATATTCTTTACATTTTATAATATTTCATGTTATATTCAAGTATAATAATTGTAGCACTTGCTTCTACTGTGTTGGGAATACCGGTAAATGGTAAGAATAGTTATGAACTGTTACTGTTATTACTTAGTCTTTTTTATCATTATGTTAGTTAATAAACGATTAAGTCGTTCACATGATATATTTCCTTATATCCAGAAGGGTAACCTGTGTTGACTTTCTATAGTACACCGTGAGAAATCTGCACCACCTACTACACAAATTTGATCATGCACAAAATACATGTAATTTTATAAGCTGACTCATCTCCTCAAATAGATTACAAAATTCTCTTGAGTGTAATAGCCTATATTGCAATATAAAATGACTTACATTTTTATTTTTTTCCAAGTTCACTGCATAACCTTAAATTTTTATTGCATCACAGTACAAGTACATATGGAAAACAATAATTTGTATCTTCAACATGTACAATGTATATAAATATTTACAAAGATTTCCATAGTGCTATCATATTAAATTTTGATATATTATAAAGACACTAAAGCTCATGCAATATAAAAATCTACTTAAGACAATATTCACCAATATTCATACAAGAACCCTACAATAATTGGTGAATCAATACTAGAGTTGACAATACCATTTTTTAGATTTTAATAAAAGAAGAAAAACTGTTCACATCAATTTCTTAACAGCAATCAATTTTATCCTCAATCAAGACTATGAAATTTTGTACATGTGATATGTGATATGCAAGTTAAAAGTAGAGACTCTAAAGAGCCTGTGTCGTACATCTTGATCTATGTGCATTTCCATTACTGAAGACTAGAATATAATTCATTACTAAGATCTCTTGTTGATCTTGTATTGCTGAAAAAAAAAAAATCTGTTTTCAGTTTCTCTGTATCTACAATAGCCCAAAACAAAATAGATTAAAAATCGTCACTCAAGGACAATAACTTCTGTAAGGAGTTCACTGACAAGTTGGCCATGATAATATATTTGCAGATCTTGACTTACTTATCATAAAATGAGTCTATATATCTTGTCCTGCTGATCAGTTGTGCTTTTTACAGTTATTTTCTTCTTTATTTACGATTGTTTCTGCCAAAAATGCCAACAATTTGTTAAAAATCAACATTTAGGGGAAATAACTCCTATAAGGACAATTTTGTATATGTTATAAAAAAGTTTTTTAATGACCTGCTGATCATTTTTGCTATTAAAAGTCTTTTTTTATCCTTAAAGTTCCCAAGATAATAAGCAGAATTGATAAAAATTTGCAAACATTTTCATTTAAGGGCAATAACTCCAATAATGAGTCATCTGACAGTTTTGGTGTAAATGGACAGTAGGTTGATCTCAACATTCTGAACATTCCCTGTCAGATTTTGGTGGCCATTTTGGTTGGCAGAGAGAATCAAATTACAAAACTTTTTAAACTAGATACCCAACTGATGATTGTGACCAAGTTTGGTTTCAATTGGTCTAGTAGTTTCAGAGAAGGTTTTTGTAAAAGTTAACCAACGACAACTGCCAATATAAGAATAGCTCACTCAACTGGGTCAGGTAAGCGAAAAGTTGATCATAAGATCCATTGAAAATATTCATGAACTAAGTAAATTGTCAGATTAGATTTTTTGTGGAAGTATTAGGAGATTCACATTGTACTGTTAAGTAATAAAGCTATATACTGAGATCATCAACATGTGGTCACTGGTTTAGAATAAGTTTTGGTTCAATTAAGGATAAATTTGTAGGTCATAATGACCAAATGTTACAAGAATAGGCTTAATACTATTATTACAGTTGAATTATACAGTATGAGTAATAAAGTTATATATATATGACCCACATGTATAGTTATATATGACCTATATGTATAGTTAAATATGACCTACATGTATATTTATATGTGACCTACATGTATAGTTAAATATGAATTACATGCATGTAGCACTATACACGCCAAATGTGAAACAAAATAAGACAATGTTCCTTTCAGTGCTATATTATATAAGATGGCAGCAGTAATATATTATTGTTGTACTTCCATGGGTTTTAAAATATGGACCCTAATGTAAAACTATATAATAACCACTCAGGCATTGAATGTAAGTCATGATGCCTTATATTCAGTGAACTTAGTTGAATCATATAAAGGACTATAATCTGACTTAAAGGTGAACTAAATTATTCACCATGTAATGAAACAAATATAATATTTGGTGACTCTTTGAAGTAAAAATATTAACCAGAGAGAGAGAGAGAGAGATACAGACAGAGGAAGGGCAGAAAGAAAGAAAATAAAAGTTGAAAGTAAACACTAGATAAAAACATACCCTGTATATTATCTTCTTTGTACATTCTTTATCAATATGCACTTGTTTGTTTCAATTATGACATGCAGATTGTTGTGATTATATCAATAAACTTCAATTTATACAAGATAATGTTTCAATTAGTAGCTAGAGGCTACAGATGTCTGCACCATGATAAATTTTGATGCTTCCTATTAGAGTGCAAACATCATTTCTAGCCTTCTTGTTAAATAATATGTCCTAAACATATTGCATGTCTCACACTTTTACAATCAAGAAAACTTTAGGATACTCAGTAACTCAGTATATTGTTGAACTGCAGTGTATTCCCCTATTAACACCACTTGTTTAAGAAAACCTTATAATTGGCTTAACAGTGTGGTCTACACTACACTTTTCATTTAAATACTATTTTGTTCACTCATTTACCATTTATTAGGCTGATTACACTTAAATGAATTACATATTAATACATATATATAGTGCACCTGTAGATGAAGGAAATATCATTTGTAAACAAAATTAAGAACCTTAGTAAGCAAGCTCAAGTACCCCACACCCCTTACTAAAGAGAAAAGCTTTAAGTGACATGATGGCATAGTTTTTATGTTTACTTTAAACTAGAGGCTCTCAAGAGCCTGTGTCGCTCACCTGTATTTACTGATGCTTTGGAAATCATGTAAAATAACGTTAAAATCATAATTAATAATATTAGATATTAGATATTAGATATTATAATGATATCTAAGATAATAACAAAAAACTGAGAAATTTCTGTAAAACTACTAACTCAGGGGCAGCAACCCAACAACGGGTTGTCGGATTCGTCTGAAAACTTCAGGGCAGATAAATCTAAATCTGATGAACATTTTTGCCACCTGTCAGCTTTGCTCTAAATGCTTTAGTTTCAGAGATGTGAACCAAAAACCGCATTTAACTCCTATGTTCTATTTTTAACCATGTCGGCCATGATGGTTGGAAGGCGGGGTCATCTGACAAATTTTTTAAACTAGATACCCTAATAATGATTATGGCCAAGTATGGTTAAATTTGTCTCAGTAGTTTCAGAGAAGAAGATTTTTGTAAAAGATTACAAAAATTTACAAAAAAATTGTTAAAAATTGACAATAAAGGGCAATAACTCCAAAATGGGTCGACTGACAATTTTGGTCACGAAGACTTATTTGTAGATCTTACTTTGCTGAACATTATTGCTGTTTACAGTTTATCTCTATCTATATTAATATTCAAGATAATAACCAATAAAATGCTCCGCTGGGCGCAGTTTGATACGACCGCAGAGGTTGAACCCTGAACAGTTGGGGCAAGTATGGACACAACATTCAAGCTTGATACAGCACTGAATTTGGATTGTGATTAAATATTTGACACAGCATAGGTTTCTGACACAGAATTAATGTGGTCTAAGAACTTAAAATTTTTTAATTTACCTATTCAAACCATATCATTATTATTTGCTTTTATATATAAATCAGAAATAATCAATTTAAAATGGAAAATTTTAAAGGAAAAAAAAAAGGGAAAACCCCCCCCCCCCCCCCCAATTTTTTGAACCCCCTTATGATTCATCACCCCCAAACTCAATCCCAGCCTTCCCTTTGTGGTATGGTACCTTGCAGTACAATTTCATAGAGATCCATACACTTGAACACAAGTTATTGTCTGGAAACTAGAAAAATGCTTGTTTTTTGGCCCCTTTTTGGCCCCATATTTCTAAACATTTAGCGCAATTACCCCCAAACTCAATTCCAGCTTTCCCTTTGTGATATGGAACCTTGTAGTACAATTTCATAAAGATCCATACGCTTACACACAAGTTATTGTCCTGAAACTAGAAAAATGCTTGTTTTTTGCCCCTTTTTGGCCCCTAATTTCTAAAATTTTGAGGCAATTACCCCCAAAATCAATCCAAACATTCCCTTTATGATATGGAACCTTGCAGTACAATTTCAGAGAGATCCATACACTTGAACACAAGTTATTTTCTGGAAACTAGAAAAATGCTTATTTTTGGCCCCTTTTTGGCCCCTTATTCCTAAACGTTTTGGGCAATTATCCCCAAACTCAATTCCAGCTTTCCCTTTGTGATATGGAACCTTGTAGTACAATTTCAGAAAGATCCATAGACTTACACACCAGTTATTGTCATGAAACTAGAAAAATGCTTGTTTTTTGCCCCTTTTTAGCCCCTAATTCCTAAAATTTTGAGACAATTACCCCCAAAATCAATCCAAGCATTCCCTTTGTGATATGGAACCTTGTG